GAGGCGTCGCGCGCCGTCGGAGGTGAGTGCTGGGGCAGCCCGTGTGGACGCGCGCTGCGTCCTTCGGGCACTGCCCCCCGAGCACTACGGCGCGGGCCCCTCTCGTGCGCCCGCGGTCGATACTCTCGTTTTGGTTTCGAATAGAATGTAGTGAACGGTTTCCTCTTGAAATAGACGAGGAAAAGATGTGTGTGGAGGAGCTGTGCACTCGCGTACGTCTCGTATATTCAGCGAGTGGTGCAATACATAAAGCGTGTGTATCAAAATAAAAGACCTTCATGCATATTGCCTATGTTTGTCGCAAATGTGATAAATGGCTTCCATGTTTTGTTTGCAATTGCAAAAATTACAGGTCACCCAGAAAATCAATTGAACCCTTAATAAGTGCGTATCATGCATGATTTTATTTTCTAGTGTGACAAGCATGTTCATTCGATCTTTGCATTATGGTTATCAGAAAAAAACACTGTCAAGTCATTTAATAGTAGCCTGCGATCCATTTGTTGTCACACTGGTGTAGAACAAAACAATTTAATTATTCGTTTGAACGCTCGCCTGTTTCGTCTTCGTTAGCGCTGTGCTAATTGCGAGAGGCCGAGCCATGGCCTCCGGGAGACGCTCCTTCGCAGGCGCCCTTTTAGCCATGGCGCCCGCTCCCTGTACGCTGCATGGCACCGCCGCCGGCGCGACGCAGTCGTCGCCCCCTTCCTCACGCATGCGGTCCCCATACGCGGGGCCATCCGTGCACGGCACACGTCCGCTCCGACAACTTTCTTATTTTATTCTGTGTTGTGACAAGGAATCGGACTGGAGGGTCGTCATCCGCAGACGACGCACAAAAGAAGTTGGGATTTTTGCAGAGACGGTGAGATGTTAGTCAACCTCGGTAGTCGGTTTGGGCGCTAGCGTGGCTGAGAAGTGGGCGTCTCGGGAGGCGGACGTTGTCGCAGCCTGCCGGAGCACCTCAGAGTGTGACGCAGCAGCTCGCGGGCGCTGGGGTCGGGTCAGCCTCCGCCGCCGC